GCTAGTTTGTCATTACCGTCGGGTTTCCAAATGGGAGCTTGATCGCAGCTGGTGGTGGTGTTGGGGACGAGATCACATCACGAATAGCGAAAGCTAGAGCAGCTTTCGCCAACCTGCGACACCTGTGGCGCCGCCATGACATCCGATTGTCCCTTAAGGGAAGGGTGTATATCGCCGCAGTTCGTAGCGTTCTGCTTTACGGTTGCGAGACCTGGCCTCTCCGAGCGGAGGATGCTAATCGACTTTCTGTGTTTGACCACCGATGTCTCCGAAGCATTGCTCGTGTCTGGTGGGAACACCGGGTGAGCAATGACGAGGTCCGTCGTCGTGTGCTTGGTGCAGATAGTCGCCCTCTAACAGAAGTAATCGCTCTACACCGCCTCCGATGGCTGGGTCACGTATTGCGCATGCCTGCCCATCGACTACCTTTCCGTGCTCTGTTTGCACGTGCCGGGCAAGGCTGGAAGAAGCGGCGCGGCGGTCAGACCATGACATGGGCTAGAGGCATGAAGAAGCTGGCTTCAGCTTTGGCTTCGGTTGGTGCAGCCCGCCTTCCAGGTTGGGGCCCAAGGGATGAGGATTGTCTATGGTTAGAGACGCTGAGAGACATGGCGCAGAATAGAAGTCAGTGGCGCGAATGCTGTACGATCTGTCTATCGAAATCCCGTGCCCATTAAGAAAAACGAAACATCAAACAACAAAAAAATTGCAAAAGGTGTACGGTGCAACACACAAAAAAAATTCTGTTATCTTGTATTTTCCATGTTTAACTGTCTCACTCACTTTTCCCCATGTTCTGTATCCTAATCCACCTATCCCCTTCACTGTCATTGTTGTTGCGTTGGCACCGTGCTTGTTTTCAAGCCGGTGGTAAATATATATATATATACTCTAAACACTGGTCACGAACATCGCAAGGTTCCCATCCAGGGAGCTTTACGGGACCTATGTGACCGAGTCTCCTGGTTAACGTCTTCATACCTTCTTATTAGGTGTGTGTGTGTGTGTGAAGGATTGAAACACGTTTGACTGAACTTGAAAGGCTGTGTATAGTGTGCTGCCGTTTGTTGTGAGACCTTGAACTTGTGAATAGAAGATATCTATCAACTAGAAGTTTTCGATTATCATTGTTCACGCCGTTTAGCCCACGTGGGATGAAGCAAACGGGTTAGTATTCTGTAGGTAAGTCGTCGTGTGTTTGGGAGTTTATCAGGGATAAACTTGCTCATCGAATTCAGATTAGTAGACTTCGCTAGCTAGGACACGTGTTGCGTATGCCCAAATGCTGTCTGCCGCACCGCTCTTTTTTCGCTGTAGCCGCTCCGGGCTGGAGGAAACTACGTGGAGGTCAACAGATGACGTGGAGACCAGGCATGAAGAAACAGAAAACCATTAGATAGAGTAGATGTCTCGCGCTGTCCAGGTTGGGGTCCGAAAGACTGCACAACTGGTTGGTTACAGATTTTGGAGGTTTTGGCAGCGAACCGGCAGCAATCACGTGCCTGTTATCATTTAGTATCCATTCACATTCGATGCAAAGTTTGTTCTCTTCCTTTCTTTCGAAGCAGACTTCCATTGAATTAATATTTGTATAATTGTACTCCTCGTGTACGGCTTCACGATTCGCCCAGTTCCATGAGCGGGATACGTTCTCCATTGCGGACCTACTATTCGGGATTGGTTCAACTTGGCACTTGTTTCGACGAAGCTTGTGAACGAATAAGGCCGATTCGAAACAGTTATTTCGGGAGATAAACTTGGAGAGCTTCATAACAAAGCTTGGTTGCACGATTGCACGCCCAAGGCAGATTTCGCTGCAACTCACTACAGTTCATGTCACTGAACAGCACATCACGAATACGACAGGGATAAATGATCACACCTACCACTGCCAAGGCAGGGACAGTGTGTCTGAAAGTTCCCTTTCACACACACACACACAGCTTTGCTGTCGTCCGGTTCAATGCCACGCCTAGCCTAGCGGGACCTTGTGTGGTGTGCCACTCCAAATCCCGGGGCTTAGGTTACTGGTGTCCATGACGGAGCAGTAGGTTTTCGTGACTATGGGGTTCGCCCCGTCTGCTATTTATCAAATAAATGTGTGTAAGAAAAAAACATGCCAGGTTTCAATTTCCTGATTGTCTTATTGCATAGCAGTTGTGATGCAGCGAAATGTACTCTGGGCATAGATCGTTCAACTAAACCTCGTTGAGTCAGATTTGTTAGACGTGGATCTCACGGCGTTTGTTGATCAGTCAATGGACCACATGATTGTAGTCCACATTCTCACATCACAGACTGATATCGTCGAAATACCACTGAGACAAAGTAAATGCGTGAGCGAAGTTTGTTCTCATTGGTGTTCTTGTGGTCCGGTTGTTACGACGGAGTTTAAACAAACCGTCAAATCACGCAAGCCTCCGAATCAAGTCACACGCACGCTCACAACGCTCTAGGCAGGCTGAGTCCGATTGGATAAATGCAGAACGAATCAGCCAATGTTTGTCCGATCGATCAATCGATATGTCATGGACGCAATCCGATTAATTGATGCGTCACTGTGCTGTTATCAGAAAACAATAGGAACAACCAGACTGTTGTATCCCGCTGGGTCCTCTCTCTCTCTCTCTCTCTCTCTCTCTCTCTCTCTCTCCGCGTTATTGTTTGTGATTGAACAAGAGTCGCTCGTGCCATTCGTATGTCTAGACCGAGCACAACATCGGAAAGGGAGAAAAGGAGGGGGATCGATTTCATAGACTTTTGGCGCCTCTTTGATTGCGTGCATCCAACATGCATGCAACACACACTTACTTGACACGAGTGGTGAGAGGTGGAGAGCATTTGGGAGAAGTGTTGCGCACCATTGTGCTGTTCTGATGTGGAACTTCTTCGGACTACGTTTCCTTTTTTTAACTTGATTCGGCGGGACGCAGTCAGCATTAGAGGTGGATAGCATTGAGCACTCAGATCAAACCTCTGCGACATTCCTGTGTTAATCTGGCTCCCGTTATCACATTAATTTTAATGCTTTTTTCCTGACCTCGTCGTCCATAGTCACAACATTCCTAAATCGGACCGTGTTAAATACCTCTACGTTGTTTTATCCCATAATCTCTCCTGGACTAACCATGTAGATGACGTTTCGCAAAACTTTCTTTTCATGCGTTTTACGTGAGGAAGCTTGCTGCTCTCGCAAATGTGGTTTTCAAATTGCTGATCGCATGCATCCTCCCTCACAGGCTGTACTGTTTCTCTGTGTTTTTTTACCAATCCGAAAGAAAACGATTTAAAATTCATGTTCACATCCATAAAACTCCTTTCCAGACCCGTTAGATTTTATTATGTACAAGCCAATCGACACATGCGAAAGACTAACTGGTAGAATCTTGAACAACGAAGATCATTGCTTGCGGAACAAACNCACCCACCCCCCCCCCCCCCTAGACGTACCTGCTCCGATGACAAGCTCCGTCCCGCATACATGTACTGTCGCATATTACAGAAACAGAATTCTCCCTTTTCTTGCCACTTTCTATGGTGAGAACCGAGCACCGATTATTGCAGATCTCGTGAAGCATCACAATGCGCTATCGTATTTGTTTACCACGTTTGTCAACTAAATTTGTTTCGCTTTAACCTTTCTCTCTCTCTGTCTGTCTGTCTGCGTGTCCCCCACGTACAGCGCGAACTGCTTCGAACTGGTTGGTCGTTGTGTCGCGACGCTCGGCGACTTGCAGAATCGGATTCGGGCGCATGCATTGATCA